TTTTTTTGCAGAATCTTGCCAAATGTCCTCTGCCTCCACAATTAAAACACTTTTTAATTGTGTATGCCGTTGAAGATAACTTCTCTTCTTCCGGGTGCTTTGCTTTACACAGCTGGTTTCTCTCAGGCTTTGAAGATAATTTCTCTTCCTTATTAGGCTTATCTTCCCTCAGCTGTTCACGTTCGCTCCTTCTCCTGGCTTCCTCTAATAGCCTGCCGGTTATCTCAGTTACTGATAAACTGTCTTTAGGCAATACTTCCAATGCAGTCACAAAATCATCATAGGTTGGATCCAAAGAAGACAGTATAATGTATACTTGTTGCAACTCATTAAATATAAGCTCTTTTTCTTGCAGTTGTTGAAAAATGCTTTTCATACAGTTTAAATGAGTCAACATGTCTCCATTTATCTCAAGATGTGTTCTAAACAGCTTCCGTGTAAGATTGATATGAGCTCCTACACTGTCTCGAACATAAATCCTTTTAAGATTATCCCAGCAGTCTGCAGCATTTTCCACCCCTCGGATATGAATGAGTTGCTGATCAGACAGGGTGAGACCTATGATGCACAAAGCCTGCTCATTCTTTCTTTCATAGTCCTGTATCAGTTTATAATCCTCTTCATCATTGGGATTTAAGTTTGATACATCTGGTGGGTTTGTAATTATGTCCCACAAACCTTCTCTTCGTAGCAGTAAACTACATTTCATTGACCATGAAACATAGTTTGTTCCATCTAGTCTGGCTATCATGGACAGACTTGGCAAATCTATTTGTGCCATTGCTCTGCAGAAAAATAACTATTCAACAAACAGTTTGTCTTTGCAGCAATGTGTAACTCTTGACCAAAACTCTCACTGGTATATCCTGGCTAGCTAGACTGTGCACACTGCTGGGCCCATAACCAATGTTAGTGTTTGGGGATAAACCCCCTAGCTGAGTGCGCAGCAGCAGTCAAGCCAGGCAGCCAAATGAGAGAGAGGCTGGGCCCTAGAGTATACACACACTTGAGACAAAAACACTGTTTGTGGTTTAAATAGGTATTTAATTCATACAGAGATTAAGAATAGTCATTCAGTCCATATGTCAGTATCCAGTTTATCCATACAGTTATCAAGTCTCTTTAAACAGTAAATACAATGTCCTTATCTGCTTCTATATCTTCTTCTTAAGATACCTTTCTCTCAAATACAATGCTGAATCCTCAGCTCACCAGGAAACAGTCCTTGTGTTCAGGTGAAATGGTATCTGGCACAGTAGCCTCCAAGGTAAGCAGATAGACCAACACAGTAGGCAGCAGACCTGGAACAGTAACCAGGTGCATCCAGAAGCCGGACTCAGACAGTTGCATCCAGAAGCCGGACTCAGACAGTTGCATCCAGAAGCCGGGGCTATTACGTTTCCCCTCCTACCTATATGGCTGCCTGCAACCGCACCCACAATGACATTGCAGTTTCTAGCTTAAAGCTACAAGACACTTAATCCTAGGTTTACATATTTATTCAACCCAAACCAGTTGGAGTATCCATATACCCAACAGAACCAATCACATAAACTTTGCTTAAAATATCCAGGTTAACTTGAAAGGTTACATCAAAAATACACATGTGCATTTCTTCCTTAAACACACTTCCATCTTGCACATTAAACTTCCTGCCAAACACACCTTAAATTCACTTTCAGAGATATAGCTTTTAAGAAAAGAAAGCCGTGCTATAATGTAATACTGTTATCTTGTCACTGAATTTTGTAATGAGAAGCAATTACTAGATTTTGATTTCATTAGGCTAACTTTAAAAGCATTTCAGCCTTCTGTTTTGAAATGGCAATTATGAGTAATTTCTACGATTAAGGAACCATCTGTAACTGTGCATTCTCCATTCACATGTACACTCAAATGTGCATTTTCCAGAGGACTTGAGCATATATATTACAGACTTAGGTATGTTTTGAACGGAAACAGCTGCTTCTACAACAGAACAGAACAACCTAAACAAGCTTTCAAGTCCAAAGTCAGAAGCTTTTATTTTTAATACAAGTATGTCTGCATACATATTACAAAAAAGTAAAACAGTGTGGCTATTTCCCCAACTCCACAATACATGATCCTAACATGAAAGAAAGACGAAGATAGTAGAAATTAATATTTATCATTTAAAGCATGGGTGGGGGACAATGGTCCTTTTATGACTTGTGGACTTTGACTCCCAGAATTCCTGAGCCAGCAAGAGGTTTCCTACCTTTGATTTAAATAAGCAGGGGTGTCAAACTGGTGGCCCTTGGGCCGGATTCATCACGCTCAGGCCATACCCATCCCAGCTCTGTGAAAAAAACGCCGTGATACATCACGTGATGGCAACATGACACTGCACGTTTGACAGCCATGATTTAAAGAGTAGAAGGCAATACAATGAAAATGGCAAGACCAAGACCTGAAAAGCAGATGAAAATGGTGGCATATGAGATGGAAATTAAGCACCTGAAGACAGGACAAGAAGCAATGAATGGAAATTAATAAAGGAGAGAAGCAACCAAGAAATAAGGAGAAATTTCCTGACAGAACAATTAATCAGTGGAATGGCTTGCCTCCATAAGTTGTGGATGCTCCAACGTTGGAGGTTTTTAAAAAGAGATTGGACAACCATTTGCCTGAAATGATATAGTTTCCTGCCTCAGCAGAGGGTTGAACTAGAAGACCTCCAAGGTCCCTTCCAACGCTGTTATTCTGTTCTTCTATTAAGGAGGCAGTAATAGTGTAGAAGAGAGAGTGCTGACTCTCCCATCTGGTCTTACATACTTAGGAAGATAATCATCTCGGACGATTTCCTGGTTTCATTGTCTTTAGTTATACTCAAGCATAAAAAGAAAGTGTCAAAGTCTTCAGAAAAAGTTCCACTGCTAGGTTGTCGAGAGGCCAACTGGATGATACAGTTAAGCTGGTACTTGTGGTAAAAGTGGAGAGACCTAAAAGAGGCTTTGCAATCATTAAGGTCCCAGAAATTGAAACAATTTTAATGTTTTATTAGAACTTAACTTGGAGATCCTTAAACTGAGACTTCTTCTTAAGCACTGATTATGCCACAGAAAATAACAAAGGAAGTCAAGATTTGATTAAAGGATGAAAACAAAGCACTATAACTGCTTTCAGGTGCTTTTGGGAACAGCAAAAGATTCTGATGAATGGAGCTCCTAATCAGAGGAAAGATAGCTAATCCAGTAATTATGACCTCCTGGCCAGAGGTTATGGTTATATCATTTTTGAAGTTGCAGA